GATTTTTTACTCTACTGACCCATTATAGATGGCAAATTAGGAAACAAATTAATTATTTTTAAATGAGATGTCAAAGGCTATAAAAACAGCTTCCTATCCCAAACCACTAAAGAATAATAAACCGCTGGTTACTACAAAGACATCTCTATACAAATATCAAAACCTAAACTAGACAAATATTTAAAATTGAATTGTATTTCAATAATAATGGGAAGAGGTAAATTAAGACAAAATAGTAACCCAAATGTCATTGGAGAGGACATATTTTCAAGTTGTTTTTGAAGCCACTGATGACGACCTCTGGAGTGTAAGAAGGAAAAATCCTTTGTATATAATTGGGCATTTGTGTGCTCTGTGGTCATTTCAGCATTAAAACAGTTCCTACTATTTTATAGACTATTCATCTAAGCAAACTACTGTTTTCATAAGTAGGTTACAGTAACGTATTAGATAATTTAAGTAGATATGGCATTTAGTTAATATAGAGGTACTACAGAATTTCCTTTTCTACTGCCAACTTGCAGATCAAGTCAAAAACCATGTCATGTTTAGGTATTTGGCATGGATATTTCTTTAATATAATGAGGCATGATGCCAATACTTCAAAAATATTGTTACTGAAATACAGGGCTATTATCTGGAGGGCCTGGATTGCTACATAAACTCAAATATGATAATAAAAAGGAATGTTTATGAGACAAAAGAAGAGCCTTAAAAATGCAATGTGAGGGCTTCCCTGGTGGCGCAGTGGTTGGGAGTCCACCTGCCGATGCAGGGGACAGGGGTTCATGCCCTGGTCCGGGAGGATCCCACGTGCCGCGGAGCGGCTGGGGCCGTGAGCCATGGCTGCTGAGCCTGCGCGTCCAGAGCCTATGCTCCGCAGCGGGAGAGGCCGCAGCAGTGAGAGGACTGTGTAAAAAAAAAAAAAAAAAAAAAAAAGTAATGTGATAATCCACTGATCAACCATGTAGCATACTTACCTGATAAAATGTGAAACAAAACTATGTGGAAATCTAGAATCTCAAGTGTGATAAGTACATTAAAGATAAGCTACTTTAACCACCTTTTTGGTGTTTGAATCTATTACCTTTATTTACAGCCCTTAAATTTATAAGTCCAATATTCAGTTTTAATGTCTAAACACACACACACACACACACACACACACACACACACACACACGCCCCCCATATGCACATACCTGACCTTTATCCTTTAAAGTTGAACACCAATTGTGCTAATAATTGAACATCAATTGATGTTTATCACTTGAACATCAATTGCCTCTCCTAATTGCAAGAGTGAAAGAAAATCTTAATTTTGGTAAAATGGTGCTAAAAAACATCTGGAAGGGAAGAAACTACTAAGCAAGTGCTCTTTGGTGATAGTTGATATGATTTTAGTTCTCAAATCCATAGCCTAACTCTTAAAGTCCCAGTTAACCCATGCATGGCTTTTAGAAAATGACAGTAGGTGTGAAGTTACAGCTATAAATGTGTGACTAAATCCATAAATAAATTTAAATGTACATGTTACTGTTTTATCTTCTTCATGGCCCTTGTCAGTACTAGAAATTAATTTATTTACTGGGCTTTTTTGTGCTTACTATATCTAGTCTAGTATTGACAATTAGGGTTTTGCTTCATTCCCAAGGTCTAGGCTCTACCCCATGTGGTAACTTAACTTTTGTCTTAGTCCTTCTACCTGAGCCCCTACATTGGGAGCCTGCTTAAAGGGTCACTCCTTGAAGGACTGGGCTGCCTTGCTCCTGCCAAATCCCTTCCAAGGAACTAGACCTAAGGCTGTAGCCCTGCTGCCTGACTTCAGGGCCAAGTTGCCTGCTGCATGCGTTCCCCAACATGGCCTTTCATGTTTCACCTGCCTGTGTGGAGGCTCCTATATGCCATGCTGGTCCCAGATGCCTCTCTGTACCAGTGTGATGCCCTATTTCTATGAGGAAGCTTTTTAAATTCAAGGCCTTAGCCTCTGCTAGCCTGTTCCTCCTACTGCCTGAAGTCAACTGAGCTATGCTCTTTGCTATCCAGAGACCGTACAGCCATGGCTGAGTTTCTGACTTCCCTGCTCTACTTGCCCTGCTAGTCTCCACTGGTCATTGTGCCTAAAAACCAGTATAAGCAGGTGGCTTTTCAGAAACGGTAAGACGCAGGACGTTTGACCAAGTTTGTCAAGTTAATTTCCTAGGGTATCAATCAAAATAACCAAAGAAAAAAATAAACTAAAACAGTATTCTCATGCCACCTGCAAATTAAAACAGCCGAGTTGAAGATAACTGCCCCAAGGCTTCTGGATTTTGACTTAACCTCATTCACCTCAACAGCCTCTTCCCTGTATGACCTTAGATAAATCACTTAATCTCTGTAGGGTACATCTAAGGTCTCCATAAAACAGGAATAACACTATTTGCCATGCCAATTTTACATGAATGGTAAGGCACTCAAATCTTAAGCAGAAGATACTATGGCATAAGCATGTATATTCAATCCTACTTTTTTTAAATCAGAAAATACAAATACACAATTGGAATCCAATGTGAAGAGTAATATCTTTTTTTTTTTTTTTTTTTTTTGCAGTACGCAGGCCTCTCACCGCTGCTCACTGCTGTGGCCTCCCCCGTTGCAGAGCACAGGCCCTGGACGCGCAGGCTCAGTGCCCATGGCTCACAG